TCTTTTCTGTCTCTCCCTCTCTGCCCCGCACACTCGACTCACACACTCACTCTTTCTTTCTCTTATGTACCCTAGCGCGCGCGCGCGCGCTCTCTCCCTCTCTTTCTCTCGTCCCGCTCCCTCCCTATTTCTATCTCGCTCGCTCTCACCTCTTCGTGGCCGGGCTCGGCATGTTCTCGTGGGATAGCGCCGCAGGCTTTAGCGAGGGAACGCTGCCTGGGCTCCGGCCCTAGGGGGCCACTCTCGCGCACAACACCACCTCGTGCACGATGTCACCGGTACGAACCACGCACGGATCTCGGACTGCGATCACGTCCGTCACACCCAGAAACGCACACGATAATCCCGTCGTTCGCGCTCGGCTGCTCCCGTCCACCGCCGATCTCCGTTTGTGAGGCGACGCGCGCGCGTTCTCTCGCTCTCTTTCTCTCTCTCTCTCTCTTCCTCTTTTTCCAAGTCCGCGTATACCTCTCTCCCTCGCTCTCTTCTCACGTAACTGTCGTCACGGTACGTTGTATGTGCTACACATCGGCCATCCACGGCGCGGACTGCCACCGTTTTCTTTCTTTCACGCGCAAAAGAAGCACGCCCGAAGCACGCACGCACGCACGAGACACCGTCGCGTGAAACGTCTCGCACACGGCGCCGAGGTGATAGCCGTTAAGACCACGCGCGTTCGGCCAATATAAACGCGCACGTTCCGTCGGCTCTTCCTCGGAGCCGCTCTACGATTTACAGAAAGTAACGCACTCGGCAATGCTCGGCAACGCGACGCGAGCTATTTATCAATAATATATATAGAAGATTCGACCAACTTCGTTAGCCACCATCACCATGATGCCGTCGCGCGCGATCGACCAATACTGCAGCTCCGCTGACCGGATGTGGCCTTCGTGGGCCACGCCATCCAATCGAATTCGTTCGTCGCTGCCGCAACGTCCGATCGGTCCGATGCTAAAGTCCGACCCGCAAACCCGCCGCAACGGCGCGAACGCGCCTCCTCCGCCGCGCATGCGCGCCGCTCCACGATTGGCCGGCGCTGCGCGCGCTTCGCGCGGGCGCCAAATTCAAACCGAAATTTCCCAGTCACGGTGAACTCTTACGCCCGATTACCGTATCGTATCTCTCTTCTCTCTCTTTCGCACGTTCTGTATTTCGGAAACTTATATAGCACACTTCGATACAAGAGCCCGTCTTAAATATGTTATCACAAATTGCGACTTTGTTTCAAGGCTTCTGATCGTTCCAAATATGGCATCGCATCGCGCCGCGCGACGTAGGCGTGAGATTGCCGATCGTATGACGATCGTGAACCGGAATACAAGATCAGGAGATCCTTTCACAATAGCATTCCATATGTTTAAAAGAAGGAAGCGTGATTTGCATTAACAATTAATAATTAATAGTTGAGATACCTACTAATGTTCGTGTTCCCCCACTGTCTCGTAGAATCATGCGATGTGGCGCAATCGACGAGATTACACTTAGCTGCTTTTACGCGAGAGTCGAGCAACTCGATCGTGCGACACGCAACGTATTGCACCTGTCAACCGAAGCTTGCATCAGATATACGGAATTTCCTGATTTATTCACCGACCCGACGATTTGCATAATGTTGCCGTCAGATGTCGCGCCAAGTGCCATCTAGCGCCCCGATTAGTCGATCGATACAAAAACTTTTGACCATCAGTTTTGACACTGACAAAAGATCCGCCTAGACCTATATTCTTTGGTTGAACTAATTTCAATTTCATATATTTAAAATAAAATAGATATTATATATATTTAAAGTTTGGCAAAAACGAGAAATATATAATGCGGTCCAGCGCACAAAAAATAACAAATAGACTC